TCGAAGAAAGTCGCAAGCAAGGCGCAGGAGAACTTTGAACAAATTGGGGAAGATGTCCAGAGGTTCGGTAGGAAGGGAGAAGTTGTCATGGTGGGCGATTCCAACTCCAGAGTCGGGAAAGCTTCCAGTAGAGGACAGGCGATCGGGAAGCACGGAGAAGACAAAGTGAATGACAACGGAGTGGGGATGCTTTAATTCTTTGGAAGCAACGAACTGATGGTGTTGAACGGTAGGAGGGAATGCGATAAGCCGGAGTTCACCAGGCCACGGGCAGTTTTCAATGAATACTTGATCCTCGATTACATCCTGGTAGATAAGGGGAGCACACAGATCCCAGAGCTGCACGTAAGTGCGATAGATATAGGTTCGACCGACCACTTCCTCATGTGGGCAAACATCNGTACAGGGCCAAGAGAAAACAGGTGAAGGGACTAGTGAAAAAGAAGGAGAAGTGTATTTGGGACGAAGTAGTGCAGAAGGCCAACGGAAGCCTGGAAGGGAACGTCAAGCAGATGTGGGAAGGGATTAGTGGAATGGTACAAAGATTGCGCAAGGGGGGGATACAGGGGTCGCAACTTTTCGAGGTGTGAACGGTGGATTAGTCAACAGTGGGAAGAGAAAAAAGGGATGTTCTCGCAGGACACTACAAGAGACTTGGAGGGCCCTCGGAGAATGAAGCTTTTGACCAAGTGTTTAAGAAGGAGGTGGACGCATGGGCCCAGAAGAAGGAGAGACATCGAAGGCAGACGTTGGTAACGTAGAACTAGAAAAGGAGTTCACTGAGGACGAGAATGAGGCGTGAGTGAACAAGCTGACGTGCCACAAAGCAGCAGGAACGGATGGGATAGTCAACGAGTTCATGAAGTTTGGGGGGAAGGGGATGTTCCAGCTGATGGTACTGCTATACAATTTGGTGTGGAAAAACGAGTATACGCCAAGTAGATGGAGGGAAGGAGTGGTTGTGAACTTGTTTAAGAAAGGAGACAAGACTGGCCCTGGAAACTACAGGGGGATCCCACTGTTGAACACAGGAGGAGAAGTGTTCTGTAAGCTGCTGAACGATAGGATAGTGGGGGTATTGGAGAAGGAACATAGCATCAGTGAGGGCCAGGCAGGTTTCCGAAAGAAGAGGGGGTGCGTAGACCACATACTCACGGTAAGGAGAATCATCCAAGGTAGAAAGAGGGCGGGAAAGCCGGCATACTGCTTATTCCTGGACGTGAAAAAGGCATACGACACCGTATGGAGAAATGGGCTGTGAAAACAACTGTCCAAACTCGGGATCGAGGAAAATGTGGAGAGTGCTGACGAAGATGACAGAGTGTACGAAAAGCGCGGTCATTATCGCCGGAGAACTGTCTAAATTCTTCGACATTGAGCAGGCGGTCCCACAAGGTTGCACGCTGTCCCCAATATTGTTCCAGGTGTTCATCAACGATCTGCTGGACGTCGTAGAGGCAGACCGGAAGGGAGTTAAAGTAGGGGACACGGAAACGTCGGGTTCAGGAATGCTGTTTGCGGATGATTTTGTCGGTATGTCGGACACCCCTGAGGGACTGTAACTGCAAATTGACGCGGCGAAGAAGGTTACTGATCAGTGGAAATTGTCTACCAACGTTAAGGAGAGTGCCGTCATGGTATGCAACGAGAACAAGGAGGAACCAGTAGAACATAGATGGAAGTGGGGGATCGAGGAGATTGCAGTAGTGGACCAGCACACATACCTCGAAGTAGAGATCGAAAAATACTGCTCGTGGAATGCACACATGTCCAAGGTAGCGGAAAAGGGCAAAGCACGAGCAGGGAAGCTGCACCCAATACTCGCAAACCGGCACCTCGATACACGCATCAAATTGACGGTTTTGAAGAGCGTTATCGTACCGCCGCTGGAGTACGACGGAGATGTATGGGAAGGAAATAAGAAGGTAGTGAAAGAACTCGAGGCGGCGCAGATGAAAGCAGCGAAAATCATCCTAGGATGCTTCAAGCGCACACGTATTACAGCCGTCCGGGCAGACTTGGGGATCCAATCCCTACGGTCGGGACGAGACGCGACGCGAGGAAGCTGACATGGCAGTATCGCATGTGCGGGATGGAAGTGGAGAGGTTGCCGAGAATTGTATGGGAGGCGAAGTGGGCAAACAAAAAGAGGGGTAGACAACCCACGGAATGGGTCAAGGTTGTAGAGGACGTATGGAAGGGGCTCGACATCGACGAAGATGAAACGCTGGAAACGGAGGGTCTACAGGGGTTCAAGGAGAAGATATCTGTTGCTTGTGCCGAGAGAGAAGAACAGAATCTGAGGAAAGAATCCAAGGATAAGGAGGGTCTAGAAGTGTACGGAATGTTGAAGGAAGGAATAGGGTTCAAGGACTACCTACATGGGCTAATGGATACAGGAACAAAG